TTAATTTACAAAAAGGCCCTTGCTGTGTCTTGAGCGTGTCTAAGCCATATATTAGCCGTGTCCAAGCCGTGTCTGGGATGTGTGCGAGGCATGTCGGAGTGTCCGTGCAACCTAGACTAGCACCCTCGTAATACCAGTCTCGTGTAATGTGTTGGTTTTCACAATCCAATGGCCTAGGTTCAAGACTGGGAGCGCAACTTCAACAGCATCTCCAACATAAGGCAATTAAGTAAAATGAGATGGTATTATAACAGTAATATGAACATGCCAAAAGTAAGGGCCTGAAAAAGCTAGGTATGCTAGATGGAGTTTGAGATTTAACAGTTAGTGAGATTAGTAGGCAACCAATATAACTAGAGCTAAAGAGGGGTTGTGCATGGCCCTAAATCATGTGCAAAACTACAAAATATGACCTCTTCCCTTTTCCATAACCCTTCTTGCGACAAAGCAATGATCAATCATCGTTAAGAAGAAAAAAATCCTCTCTCCGAAGTGAGAGTCCTTCTCACTACTGCTTCTATGAGACTTTCAGATCTAAGCATCTTCGGTGGCATCGGCCTTAGCTTCAGTTGGGGTCGGTTGTTGTGTCCTCTTTTCCCTCTTTTCCTTCTTTTCTCCTTGCATCTACTGCTGGTTCTCCCAATTTTTCAATCTCGCTTGTCCAATTCCTCAACCCTGTGGGTATTCCTCTTCCTAGCTCTTCCTTTCTCCAATCTTCAGCCATGTTCTCTATCGAGTTCGTGTGTAGAGTTCCGGCGCTTTCACCTACTCAGGTGTTTCCAACACCACCACGTTCTCCTTAGTGTCTGCTGTTTCTGGCAATGTCGCTCGAGGATTTCCCTGAGCTTCACACAGGTGGTTTGCATCTTTCACTTGGGTGCCAACTATCTCTTGCTTATGGTTGTGCGCATGAGGTGTCTGAGGAGGAGATGATCGGTGGTGATCGGAGAATCAGATGGCTGGATGCTCCTCAGATAGGCAATGGAGAAAGTAGTGAATGCTTTTTGGAACTTATGTTGTTTTTGGGCTTTTGGGCTCACTTTTTGTTTCTGTTTTTTCTTGGTTTTTAGGCCCTTTTTTTGTTTGTTTATAGGTGTAAGTTGGGCATTTGTTTGTTTGTAAGTGTGTGTTTGGTGTTTATTAAAATCTCCCCCTCGGCAAAAAAAACTAAGAAATATTATATCCTGACAAGTTTTAACGACGAACTCATTTTAACTTTGTAGGCACAATCAAGCAGTTTTTGGGTTTGATTGGCACTTGAATATGAATAGATAAGTATATGGAAAATATAGCTTAGTTGTTGAATCCCAAATGTCTAAGAATGTTGAAACATATATGAAATGAATTGATCGAGAAGCCGAACCTGTGAGGTTTTTAGTAAGAGTTCTTTTTCTATCACGAAAAATCTTTCATAGATTATTAATGTTTTTACGTCTCAAAATATATGGCCAAAACTCATATCTAGGAAATCATCAATGTCAAATCAAATGAATTCATTATTTCTTTTTACAGCATGGTTGTTTGGGTTAATATTTAACTTGGGCTTAAAGGGAAGGAAGCCCAAGAAAGCTCAATAGAGGAGATTTTGCTCGAGGCCCAGAGTCAAGCCCAGATACCTATCTCAAGACAAGACGGCTCCCCATTAAATGCAAAGGTTAGGTGCTTATAAGAGAAGTGATAACCGATGGAAATCAACCAACTCTCGGCCCAAAAGCATTTTTCCGAGTGGCAAAACATGTAAAATTGCTAATGACCCACTACCCTCTAGTTGCTTTCGAGTAAGAGTAGAAACAGCACAGTCGGGCTAATTCGCCTATAAATAAGAGAAGATGGCCTAGAGACAAGGACACTCAACCAATCAAACAAACAAACAAACATACAACTTGCCTCTCAGTCAAGCAAATATCCAGAAAGTTGTGCTTTGTCCAGATTCTGCACCCTTTTAGCTTTAGACTTCCTTTAGAAAGACATCTTTTGTCTATGTAAAAGCTCTGCTACATTCTTCAAATGTTGTAGTATCGATTCTCTTATGTAAACCCGTTTACCTGTCATTCCTCTTTCAGTACCTAACCCTTTAGAACTACAACAAAAAGATTGCAAGACGTTCAACCTTGCCCGACAAGCTGAAATCTTGCCCGCCTCTCTTTGTTTTGTCTTTCAATTAATAAATCTATTGTTATAATGTATTCCCCAGTACATATTCAAGTCATTTCCAGTCTTTTAATGATCCAAAGTTCCATCAATTCTTAGATCTGGTTCACTTAGTGTTTCTATGGTCATAAGAAGATTAAAACTGATTAAAACTGATGACTTGATCAAATCTTGATCTTCACCCTTTAAGCATACAAGATAAAGAACCAAAAGTCCTTAATCTCAAGGCATAGAAAAGAACTTAATGTAGACTTAACCCATCTACGACAATCCTTTGATAACAAGAAGTCAAAATAACTTGAGGCACAAGTAATCGGCTTAAATACACTTGTTCTACATCTGCCATACAGAGATAGCAGTGGCATGCCTTAGCACTTAGTTAGTTTTGATTACGAGTCTTAAGGCCTACCCCTAAGGCCCCACAAAAGCACCTTTCAGAACTAACTTTGTCCTCCTTTTGTAGCATCTCAGCAAGCCGGAGCCCGACAATCAACAAAATGTCAATTCCTCGAGGAGCTTTGTGCTCGAGCCAAGGACCCCTCCTCGTGAGATTTCCTACTCGAACAATGGTATTGATCACAGTAGTGTGTTCACCCCCTTCTATTCAATTTGTATCACCCTTTTCGTAACCTAGAATTAGAGGTGGGCATAAAAATAGTTGAACTGGAAAACTGAGTCGAATAGTAGTAAGAAAATACCATAAAAAAACCGCATTGACCAAAAAAGTCAAAACTGGGACAAAAGACGAACCGGACCATCTCAAACCGGTTCTGGTTTCGGGTTGGAAATAATAAGAACCAAAGGAACTGAACCGAATCACTTTTAATATAAATTTTATTGTTTTATTGTTTTATTTTTTATTTTTTATATAAACAAACCATCTTTCCAGCCTGATGGTGTTCTAGTCTTGGTAAATTTCAGCTTGTTGATATGGTTCTAGTCTTGGTAAAGCTGCTTTTGGTGTTGATATTGGGAGCTAGTTCAGAGTTGGTCACTCTTGTGAAAGGTTCGATCAACGTTCTTTGCTTTCTATTGTTTCAAATTAGAAAAATTGAGTTGCTTTACATGTTGCATTAATTGGGTAGTACTAGACTAGTTTACAAATATGAATCCATCATGTGGTTTTTTTGGCATACTCAAACCAGTGAAGTAAATACAAACGTTTTTTTTTTTTTTTCTCCAATATGAAATGGTGTTTTATTTGTGTTTGATTTTGAAAAAGGTTTGGCATACATCATTGATGAAGACGATTCAACCATCATGAACAACTGAATCAATCTCGCCCAATAGTTGATTTAAAACAAGTCTCATCACCATAAATCCTGAGTTCTTTTTTTTATTATTCTTTAGAAAATAGAGGATTCGAAAAAGTGAAAAAAATATATACAATTTTGGTTGGAACCGTAAACCATCATGATCTAATAAATTTAAGTGGAACTGTACAAAAATGAATCGTTGATATTTTTCAATATAGGTTCCAATTTGATGGTGGAACCTGACCGTGCCCAACCCTACCTAGAATGATTAGAATACATGATCTTGTAAAAAAACAAAATAATTAATTAATGAGTGATACATTTAATTTTCATAATCCAAGGGCAACATTTTATATTGAACATTCAGCACTCGTAGAAAAAAAGGAAGAAAACTTGAAAGAGAAATATCATCTCTCAGCCGTATAAATAGAATTACTTAAGACGGACAAACGCTGGTCTCACGCGTAGCAGCTGGATATTGTGCTACACTCACAAACCAGCTGGTCCTGGGTTCGAGACTGGCAGAAGAGAGAGAGAAGAAGAGAGAGTACTGAAATCAAAATGAGGTATTCTAAAATACCTCTGTTTTTGTGAGGTGAGAATGAAAGTGCGGAAATAACTCTCGCCAAAGTATACCAAAATTTTAAAGTGATTCTGTTAATCGTAATTTGCTTATAGTGATTTTGAGTAATGGCGTGTACAATTTTTCTTCTAGCATAAGGAAATGGCTTAAATCAAATGAGTTATTTGAAAGTATCTTTTAAGTCAAATTGGTTAGAGCAGTGTGTTCATTTCTTCACACTCAAAGTTCGGATCCCCCTTCATGTATTTTAAATGAATTTTAAAGTGATTCCGTTAATTATAATTTGTTTATAGTGATTTTGAGTAATATCGTATACAATTTTCTTTTAGCATAAGGAAATGGCTTCAATCAAATAAGTTATTTGAAAGTACATTTTAAGTCAAATTGGTAGAGCAGTATGTTCCTCCATTCACACTCAAAGTTCGGATCCCCCTTCATGTATTTTAAATGAATTTCAACCAATAAAACCAGTCTTACGACTTGGTGTGGGCTATGGCCTTATTATGGTTGGGGGAGGTTAGGTGATGAGATGAGTTGGTTCTTAGAGGGTTCTCCATCTTCCCCCAAGTTCTTTTATGAGCATTTTCCCTCTTTTGTTATTCTCAATTAGAGCACGGTCCAGATCATGTACTTTAAAAGATTAAATATAATTACTTAAGAGGCTTTACCGCCGGTCAGTCATCCAATAACTTGTTAGCTTTGTGTTACATCTAAAGTCCAACAGGTTTTAGATTTGATTGGCATTGCATTGACGATAAATCACCAGAAATGTTACAAACAAGAAAAATGAAGTATTCTAAATTACCTTAGTCTTTGTTTCTTTTTACTAAAATTATCTAAATCACTAATAATAGCATGCCAAAGGCAAAGGCCTGTAACGAAAACCTCTTTTTGGTTTTTCTCTCTCTTTTCTTTTTGGTCTTGAAACTAGAGAGTAAATTCTTTATCATCTTACATTGTCTATAGAAAGCTCTTTTGGCCTTCTTTTCCCCCAAGTATTTGGTCAGATATTATATAAGATCTAGTACACATAGTATAACAGCAGTTTATCAATACAATTATATTCAAATGCGTGCACCGATGCATGTACAAAAGGCACGAGATTATTTACGAGTACTAGGGTTTATGATTCTTAAATTTCTAGAGCTGATACAAACACATCGAACACGGGATGAAAGAATCTGACCGAGAAACTCTACACACTATCATTTACAATGAGGAGAGCGCAACTCAAAATAACACCAAACATAGCAAAGATGTCGCATAAGTTAATCAAGCAATTAACTAATGCGTTTTACCAGAGCAGGTGATTTCTGCATCTGTTTTCGCTGATCTGGTAAGGCCAGACGCATACCATCCACATGGAGCGCTAGAAGCTATCTGCACTGCATTTACGGTACAGCTCAAAGTTTTGACAGTTCAAGGAAGGGTTCCACGGACTTCTTATGCCTGGAGGAACCCCTGATCTTCCAAGTAAGAAACTACTTCTTCGGCCATCTCACATGGGGAAGGACATGCTCCTCCTTTATGTGATAATACTATCTGAAGCCAGATAAAGGATGAAAAAACAGCAAATGAGAAATTCTCCTTTCATATTCCAAATAAAACAATAACATCGAGCACACTATAGACCGAAAAGGAAAACGTAACAATAGGTGAGTTGAGTTTATGTGCAGCTGTAGTTACATCGTGTCCAGCAAGTATACATCAGATCATCATTCGTTTCATTCTGCGCCATATCCCTACAGGCTAAATTAAAGAATGGAATTGAAATGGTGCCTATGTGGAAAGCGACTAATGTATCTCAAATTTAACTTCCAAAAAGCATAGATTAAGCTCTTGGTTAATTACAGACTTTTTTAACAACAGCCTTTTTCTATAGAAAATATTTTCTTCTGGATTGCGTTTTAAGTTTAAATTTTTTATTTTTAAGTTGCTATTTTCCACAGCTCTCATTACGTAATGTGTATTTCTTTTTAGCAAGAGAAACATGTGTGTATATATATGATATCTGTAGTCTGTATGTAGCCACACCTGTTCAATTTTAGCTTAAAAGGTGTATTCTGCTTTTCTCTAGATAGTGTACATACCTCACAATCTAACGGTTGCTCATATGGATCATCAATCCCAGTAAAACCTGCAATGCCGGATTGATACAGTGTAAGTAATGACCAGCATTTCGGACTAGGAAACTGACAAAGTGATAAATAATATGGCCATTTAATCATAACTCCTTGTAAAATACAAAATGAAAAGATTCGGTGCACTATGGAGAGTGGGATTGGTACACATATTTCAAATAAATTCAACATACCAATTGTCCAGGATTCAATTAGTAATCAGAGTCGCACTTAAGGATCCATATATGAGATGGCGAAAGTTACCAACTTCAAAAAATATCCATGTCAATGCACAAGGGAAGATTCACAGATACACACCCACACCTAGAGGTTTGCGTACAGTAGTACCAGAAAAAATTAAGAATCTTCCAAATGATTGTTTAAACAGAAGTTTAATTAACCATAATAAGATTCACAACGTTTCTTGTATCTCATCGTAAAAAAATAAAAAAATATCAACGTAAAGATTTTAGTAGGACAGTGGCACCTTAAGCAGGCTGTTAAATTTTAAAGACAAACTCAATTTAGTAACCAAAACCCGAGATACTAGTTTGCATATACCTTCGATCTTCCCTGCACGTGCAAGCTTATATAGGCCTTTCGGGTCTCTAGCCTCACAAACTTGGAGTGGAACGTCCATGAACACCTTTCACAAAACAAGTTTGCTTTACTGATAATTTCTTCAGCAAATATTCCAAGCATATGCCCAAAGCTTAGTTGAACTTGAAAAACAGTGATAGAGATTAAATAGCAGTGAATTACAAACCTCAATGAAGTCTCCAGCAGGTAGCATTGCACGGCAGGCATCACGATCCCTTCTATAAGGAGAAACCACGCTAGCAATACAAATAACTCCAGCATCAGCAAACAATTTTGCCACCTCCCCTGAATACAAGAGCAAAGGCAATGCTACATGAATACATAATGAAAACGAAAGCGGTAGTTAATCTAAAAAGAGGAATTAGTCAATTAAAAAGAGGCATAGACATGCATACCAATCCTCCGAATGTTCTCTGCACGATCTTCTGCTTTAAAACTAAGGTCGCAATTCAGGCCATGCCTGACATTGTCCCCATCAAGAATGTACGATAGTTTTCCCCTGTGATACAAACTCCCACCCAATGCACAAGCCACCGTGCTCTTCCCTGAACAAACAAAATCAATTATACGCAAGTGATGAACAACTTTCTCTCGGCACAGTCTAACGGGTTGTGGATGTTGTTAGACTATCAATCCGAATTGCAATTAAACAAAATCATATATGAATGCGGTTCTGATTCACAGTCTAACCAGATATAATATGCCATATTTCTATCATAAAGAACATAATACATATATATATATGTGTGTGTGTGTGTGTGAATGTAATATAAAATTTGAATTAAGGAAAAACTAACCTGAACCGCTGAGACCGGTGATCCAAATGACACACCCCTTTTGTTTAAGCAACTTTTGCCTGTCAGTTTTGTTCAATGAACACTCATGCCATTTAATATTGGTTGAATTGCCAACCGAAGACAACAAGCTCCCATTTTTATCTATTTAACAAAAAAATTAAAACAAAAATCAATCCAGAAAAAGCATAAAGATTCCAAATTCTACATGAAAATTCAGAGTGGGTAAGTTCAGAAAAGGCTTAAAGATCCCAAAAATTAAAGATGAAAAATCATAAGTGGGTAAATTCTACATGGAAAACAAAATCCAATTCAGAAAAAGCTTAAAGATTCCCAAATAATTAACAACTAAGTGCCTGAACTCCCAGCGTGGCCTTTCAGACTCGCCGTTCTGGAACCCTCCACCTCCATGGCCTTTACTACAAACAAACTCCTGGCTTTCAAGCCATTCACAGAAGCACCACGGGGCAAGTTCAGGACCGCCAGCTGCGACAAAGAAGACGTTTCGACCCCGACCCGGAGTCCCGGCGACGGCGCCCATTGCAGTGACTTGGCTTGCATATCTCGCAAAATCATCAAATCCCCCCAAAAAAAAAACAAAATTTGAATTAAACGAAAAGAAAAATTGGGCTTTCTGAAAACCCAGAAAAATATATACACTGAAAGTGAATGTGGCATTAAAGTGCAATTTTGGTGGGGATATTTGGAGGGAGGCCGTGGGGAAATGGAAAGTTGAGTTTGTGTCGGTGGGAGAGTTGAGCAAAGTTGGTGGGGAACGGGGGTGGATAGGTTTTAACAAAAATGCGACCGTTAGGTTTTTAATTGATTTTGTTTTTTAAATAAACACTTTATACTACTGCTGTTAGATTCTCACGACGCCGTGAAAGCGGGCTTCGTTCAAGACGGAAAAATTAACTTCTCGTTACCGCCGCGATTAATTGCGATGATGATTCTGTTAATCTTTTAATTAATTCTTCAATTGGAGTTTCTTTATTTGTTTAATTATTTGTTTAATTATTTCTCTAGAGTTATTGCCATTTATTGTTTTTTTTTTTTTCAGATTTTTTTTTTCTTAGGATGCAAGTTACAGTTTTACATAATTAGTAACTCTCCTTGACATAATTAAACCACGAGAGGTGCAATATGTCAGATGGAATGACAGATGAATGTAAAGGTAGAAACTTAATTCACAACCGAAAAAACTTCTCTCTTATTGAGAGCTTTCTCACCATTTGTGTATGAGTGTATATCTAGCTTCCATTCTTCTCCTCGCTACCACCGATTCTAGCTATGACTAGCTTTGCTCCTCTTGTTTTCCTTTTCTTTCCTTTTGTTCCTACTTGTTTTTTTCCTCTACCTTTTTGTTGGTTCGACCATATCCTCATCTCTCTGGTGCCTCTGATTTCACTTCACCAACTCCCCTTTTTTATTTACTTTTCCCTCCACCACCTTAATTTCCAACACTCCACACCCTACCCCTTCCAATTGACTCACTCCTCCATTGATCTGACACTTTACATTGAGTTCCACTAATCAACATCGTGAATGTGAATCTTTGCGATTCCCCTTTAGGAGGAAGAGGTGTAGAGCTTCGGATTTCATCGATGCTCCGGTGTTCTCACCACCTTCTTGCCTTTATTTTGCCTTGTTGCCTCTGTTGCTCGTGGGTTGTTTCCTGTGAGCTTCATTTGATTTGTGGTGCCGATCTTGGCTGTGCTCTTTGGAGGTTGTTGAAGCCTTCTTCTTATCCACTTTGGGGGGCTTGCATTGGCTTGATTTCAGGGTGGTTTGAGTTTGGTGGTCCTTCCGATGGCAGTAGCGTCAGAGGATGCAAGCTGTTGGGGTTTTTTCTGTTTTTCTGTTGGGCTTGGTTTCGTTGTACTTTGGAGGTCTGTAATTTTGTTGTTGTGTTTTTATTGTATGTGGGCCTCTCTCTTGTAAATATGTGTTGTTAGTAATATGTTATTACCTTTTTACAAAAAAAAAAACAAAAAAAAACAAAACATGTAAAGGTATCTTTTTAGTCCAAAACGTCACTTAAATTATTTTTGATAACGAAACGAAGTTTTAACGAATGTAATCCTGAAATCGCATTAAGAAAAAATCCACTAATTAAGCTTTTAATCGAAAAGAAACCTTTGGGTACGTCAAAAGTAAAAGGATGATATGACTTATGATTGTAGATGTGGGCTTAGTCCGTTGCACTTGATATGAGCCAATTGGCTGATCAACAAAAGGTTCCTTTGTATGTCTCCAATAAAGCACCATCAACCTCCACAAACACATAATCGAAGTAATCACGTGCTTCCACCAATTTACTTTGGCTTTGATTGTACGATGAAAGCGACTTGTATAGTATAGATATATGTTGATTTTAGCATTTTATGTTCATAGTTTTAATATCATATGCAGATAAAATTTACAGACGTCATTATATTATTAGTACAAAACGTAGCTGCATTTTTGTGGTGTGTGCAAGTGAGTGAGATTGCAATTTGCACTTGATAATTTGGTGTAGTGAGTTGTGACATCCCACATCGTCCAAGGGAGTGGATCCTGTAAGCCTTATATGTATATTCTCATCTCTACCTAGCACGATGCATTTTGGGAGCTCACTGACTTCGGGTTCCATCGGAACTCCAAAGCATTCTCAGGATGGGTGACCCACTGGGAAGTTCTCGTGTGAGTTATCGGAAACAAAATCGTGAAGGCATGGTCATGGCCCAAAGCGGACAATATCGTGTTACAATGGAGTCGAGCTCGGAATATGATTGGGGCCCGGGCCGGGATGTGACATGAGTGGTGACACACCGTACACATATATTTCAAAGGAAAACTAACGAAAAATTCAAAAAAAACTTTCCTTTTAATGAAAAGCCGAATATGATTGGGGCTCGAGCGGGGATGTGACATGAGTGGTGACACACCGTACACATATATTTCAAAGGAATACTAATGAAAAGTCCAAAAAAAACTTTCCTTTGAATGAAAAGCCATTTTTAAAGATATAATGAATAGTACTAGGAAAATGTATAAATATGATTTTTCGTTAAAAGTGAACAATACCAAAAGTATTTTGTTAAAACTCTCATATTTCAAAGGTGGAAAAGTTGAACATGCATATTGCATGACCTAATTGACATTTTGATGAGAAGTTATTCTTTCAACTTACTTACATGTGTCATTCCAATACACCCAATCATTCCATTTTTTTTTTTTTTTTTTTTTAGCACATCATTCTATTCACTTTTGAGCCATCATGAAAAATCAACAACAGCCAACAATGTCACAATTATGAACATCATGATTATTGAAGTGTAACTCAAGTAAATGACAGAACATTTTGGTCATAACGACAACTTCTAAGCTTTGATGAAATCTTTTTTTTTTGGGTAAATTACATAGTAGCCCCTCAGGTTTGAGGGTAAATTTTAACCCCATACAATAACTTTAAAACATTTCATTTTCATACATCTAGTACCATTTTATTTCAAAATAACACATCCGTTAGATTTTCCATCCATTAGTCTGTTAAATGCTGACGTGGCTACCACATTTGTGCTAATGTGGCTACCACGTAGAATTTTTTTTTATACATTAAAAATATTATAATATTAATCCAATTATAAAAAATAAAAATAAAACATAAAAACCCTAACCCAAATCCCCTTTCTTCCCCCTCTCCTCTCTGCAATCCCTACCCACTATCTCTCACCCACCCCCTAATCGACCCACATCCCTATCCCTAACCTAGAACCTAAAAACCTGCAACAACAACAAGAAGAAGAAGAGGAGGGAGGAAAAGAAAAAAAAAAACCCCAGTTCATCCCCCCAAAACCTGCAACAAGAAGAAGAAAAAGAAGAAGAGGGAGAAAAAAAAGAGAAAGAAAAAAAGAAAAAAAAGCCCAGTTCGCGGGAAGGTCGTCAGAAGGTCCGGGGGGGGGGGGAAGGAAGGGAAGTGGATCGTGGCGGAGCGGGGGGAAGGGAGGTGGGTCGTGGGTCGCGGCAGGGCCGCGGGGGGGGTTTCTCTCTCGGATCTCTCACTCTTTCACTCTCTATCTCTCTCTCGGACTCTCTCCCCGACAGTACACCCACACACGCACCCATCTACACAACCACGCACGCACCGACGACACACCACCACCACTGAGCTTCAAAATCCCGGGCGGGAAATCCAACTTGAAGTCGTTGTGGCTGATGCTGAGGATCCTGAGGTTGTAGAGCTCGAAAATGGCGGGCTGGAGAGGGCCGTGGAAGGCGTTGCCGCTCAAATTGAGGTGGATTAGTGAAGAAAGGTGGCAGATTTGTGGTGGGATTTGGCCGGAGAAGTTGCAGCGGGAGAGGTCAAGGGAAACAGAGGGAAGGAGGAGGAAGAAAGAGAAGGTACTTTCATGGTTTTAGGGGTGTGGGGAAGGTGCTGGGTGAGAGTGAGAGTGTGTTGGGAAATTTAAGAGAATTGGGGGTTTGATGGCTGCTTATGGGTTTTCTAAAGGGATGGGGTTTCGGCGGCCGGGGGGAAGTGGTGGGATTTGGGTTTTCTAAGGTTTTTTTTTTATTTTTTTATTTTTTTTTGAAGATTTAGGTTTTTTTTTTTAAAATTAAAAATTAAATTTTTTTTGCCACGTGGCAGCCACATCAGCACAAATGTGGCAGCTACGTCATCATTTAACAGACCAATGGATGAAAAATGCAACGGATGTATTATTTTGAAATAAAATAGTACATGAGGTATGAAAGTGAAATGTTTTAAAGATGTTGTATGAGGTTGTAATAAACCTCAAACCTGAGGGGCTACTATTTTTTTATGATGTTTTCATTAATATTTCATGGCTACAGAAATTGTAAAATAAGAATACTTTCAAAAAGAGCGTCTAGACTTTATAGATTTTTATGTTAGTAAACCCTAAATTCTAAACTAGATTCAAGAATATGAGCAACATATCAACAAGACATCAACTCATTATAAGCAAATCTTTTTTTTCTTTTTTCTTTTTTTTTTTTGGAAAACATTATAAGCAAATCTTGAAAAGAACATAGAGCAATTATGCCGTGTAATGGTAGTGCCACAAGAGAATCTAGCCAACGATAAGTTTGCTCTATATTTGAGACGTACATAATGCCAATAAGAGGGGAAAATTTTCATTGTGATCGGAACACGAGTGGTACATCACATGTTATTATATAAGTGGTAAGAAGTTTAAATTTTTATCACACATATCCCATAATTTGTATAGTGACAAGTGGTGTACCGTCCTGTGTTCCGGTCACATTGAAAAATCTTTCCAATAAGAGAAAGGGTTGTCCACTCACATCCTTTTGATACCCAATCGAATGCCTGAAACAATATTTCATCTTCACACGGCCAAACTCATAAATTACCCAAGAAATGTGGCATTCATTGTCACTTAAGATCACAACAATATATTTCACACACCACATTTCAATCAAACAGTATTTTTCAATGTTAGAGATGTCACAAGTTTGAACCACTTCCCCATTGATCTAAAAATAAGCAACAATCTAGAATATGATTGCATTCACATGTACCATATGACCCCATCGATCTAATTTTATTTTGTGAATTGTTATTAGTACTTCAAAATTTTCATTATACACTCTTCATAAGTGTATTTTTCTTTTTGGAGTGTAAAATAAGATTTTTTGAATACCAATAACAATTTCCTTTATTATTTTGAACAATGCTATTTTTACCACATTAGTATACCACATTATGTGGCATCTGATGTGGATGTCCACATCATCTAAATTAATCATATTTTAAATTAAATTTAAAACTATTTAATAAACTAAT